TAAGCACACAAAGGGTAAATATCCGTGCGTCTATAATTGTCTAAAGATGCCTATGTTAATATATATGAACGTGCATGTACATTGAACTCTCAAGGTTATATCTGGATGCATGCACGCATGCATGTGTGTGTGTGTGTGTGAGAAGAGAGAGAGCATCTTTGATGGCTTGGAGCAAAAATTGTTGCTCCAATGCTTTATAAATTTGTAGACCAGACAAGTGACCATCGACAGACACTTCATTCTAATTCCTTGATAATTATACCTAGATAGAGTTTAGTTTGCTTGGAAACATCGGCAATCGGAAATGAACCTTCCCTTCACCGTGCAGGGGAGCGAGTAGTAGTGGTCACTCATGGAACCGTGCTCAGGTCTATATACCGGCGAGCTCTCCCAAAAGGAGGTCCCGCACCGAAGGTACAGAACGCTTCAGTCAGCATTTTGCACTTGTTTGATGGGGACGACTGGGTCATAAAGTCCTGGGGCGATCATAGCCATCTCAGCCAAACCGAAGAGAAGCTCTAGTACCATTTTGAGACATATGGTGAAATCCAAAATAGTGGTAGGCAAATATGGATACTTTGCTTGAGTTGTTAGATGTATGCCCTAAAGTTATCATGTAATAATTACATGTTAGGGATTTAAGTTGTATTTTCAATTTTATTATTTATTTAATGACAAGGACGTATTCATTCATTTGTCTAATTATTTAAATATATGAATGATTCCGTAAGATCAGTTGTGACTGGATTTATTCTTGAGATGTTAAGAATATGTGCGACAGGTTCACAGTTAGACTGAATCTTTAAATTGTTTCCGATCGATGGATCATTGAGTAGATATTAATGATCCTGTTGAGACTGGTGTGTTCTTAGCTTCACCATCAAGTATTGGATAATTAAGGGAATGACGAATCACGAGTCATTAGATATTGCGATGCCCGAGTTAGAACACAGGTGCTTGTATTAGACAAGTTCACTGAACATGACATGCATAGAACAATTAGCAACATGGAAGCTTTTAACGTGGTCAATGACTAATCGTTCATGCTCTGGTCTTGTGTAAATAATCCTTAGACTTGAGGCATAGTATTGACTTATATGTTGGATGGTTATGGTTCACAGGTGCGCATATTGCCGATTCGTTGATCCGTTTATGTACTTGATGGCCATAGTTCGTTCACATACGAAGTTACACGTGTGCGCAAAATGGAATCTGTCCACTTGTTATACGCAAGGTACAATAATGATGTCCAACATTGACCTTGCATTGAAATCCTCGGCCGGGGCTGTAACCGAGAATGAACTGTTCATGTCTCATATAAAATGCATGTCAATTAGGTTTGTGCATATGATCGAATTGGTCGCTTAACAGATATTTCATGGTCTTTGTTTGATCGGGATATAGTAAAACAGAGGGATTGAATTACACTGTAACCAAAGCTAACAGGTTCATTATGTTCTTAAAGCATTCACACTGTTTGGGTAGCCATGACATATTGCTAGATGTCAATCATAGCTTGTAGGACCTAGAGGTTGATCGGGACAATTAATTTTCTTGGGAGTACTAATGTATTAGTGCAATTCCTATTACCTACTCAGTGATAAATCTAGGGATGTCACACACCATAATCAATTTAGGATGACGTTGTACGGAAGAGACGATATTGCAAATATATTTGCAATCAAATTGAGTCGGACTGAAATTAAATTAAATGTGATTTTATTTTATTTTATTTTTAGCCATGAGTGTACGTGCATATGATGCATGCGCAAACCTAAAGTGGACACATGTTAATGTGCCAAATGATCTTGCACTCTCAGTTTTATAGAATTAAATTAATTAAAAGTGCATGATGACCTTATGCAGCACACGATCAGCAATGGTGATGATCGTGTGTGTTTTAATTATAATAAATTAATATTAATTAATGGTGCATGCACACGGTCAGCAATCACCCACGGTTAGCAACCGTTGCTGGTTGTGGGTGATTGCTGACCGTGGGAATCACCCACAACTAGCAACGGTTGATGGTCGTGTGCTAAATGCACATGCGATCAGTAACTGTTGCTGATCGCACAAATAAGTGGGATGAGCAACAGTTGCTGAAGAGTGAGCAGATAGAGTGCAAGTGAGAAGTGCAATATGTGTGCTACGTTTTCTCTCTTCCGGTTCCATGATTGAAATATCGAGAGTGCGGAGAATTGTTGCCACGAGATTGCTAGCACAATTGTAGTGGTGATTACCCGCAAGTTCTTTATTTCGTTTGTCGTGCAATTGGTGGTGTGTCTGAACTAGAGGTCCGACGGTTGTGAGGCTCGAACCATAGAACATCCGAACTAAAATCGTTTTGGGCACTCTACGAGAGGTAATCCGTTTAACCCCCTATGGTCTTCCGATTTTTTATTGAAACGCACGAACAACGCCTTTGGAGATACATGTATGGTTATATCTTTTCGCTACATTTATATTTAAATTAACTATCCATGTTCCATAGAAAACCAACATAGTTCTGTGTCCATTTCAATCCCGCGGAAGAGTCATGTCATCACTTAGCCAAAGCGTGCGAGAGACCCACTCGTTAGACATTGCTTGACAATCGACGGAATCAAGCGTGTCAAATTACTTGGGCGGTAAAATTTTCCGTATTCTTATAGGATATGACACCATATCTTCGGTGTAATACATTTAAGTGCTGATAACTCTATTACATCTAGTAAGTATCTTCAGTAATTTTCAGTGTTTACTTTTGCCAAGCAAGCATTGACTGTTTTCATAAACAGGACTGGCATCACTTGACATACATCAAGTGCGTCGGCTGAAAGATACCGCTAAGAACCGCCATTGGCCGACCACTCGGGAGCATAACAGTAAAAGCAAGCTCAAGGGACTTAAGATCTATGTTGAGTTAATACCACCCTAAACTACGTTTTTAACCACCAAAAATTTCAAACCGGTACAGCTATGATAAATTTATCCCAAACTAATTATTTGACCACTAAAAACCTCAAATCGGTACACCTGTGACAAATATACCTCCCATTAAATTGGATTAATACCACCCAAAATCACAAATTGCTAAACATGTAACAAACAGAGTGTCATCCAACTTAACAATTTGACGGTAAAATTTAATGAAAACTAACGGATGATAAATTTGCCACATGTGTATCAGTTTAAGGTTTTTGGTGATCAAAAAATTAGTTTGAGGTAAATTTGTCACAAGCCAGTTTGAGGTTTTTGGTGGTATTAACCCTTGAAATAAGATGCTCACCGACGTCATGAAATTTACGAAAACAACCCTTCAAACATTTTCAAGAGAGTACTCTTTGTAGGGTATGCACTTCGTTTCTTAGTAATTTGATTCCTCCCGATCTTGTCTTGCGAACGAATTTATTGTAGTATTCGATGCAAATTTGTTCAATTCTATGAAAATAGATCGGCAACCACTAGGTAAATTTGGGAGATGTGCCATGATTTCAATGAAATGAATCGACTAATTAATTTGGAAAATCCCATTCAATACATCATCGAAATGTCCTAGTGAGAGTAGAGCCAGCTATCATTTGATCTTAGATGGCTGTTATTGAAGCTATTTTTTTTGTCATTACAGGATACGACATACTCATTAGGCGAGAGAAAATGTGTTTTCTACTTGGGTTGTCAACGATTCGGGTTTTCTGAAACCCGAGCTAAACCGAATCATTAGGAATGTGCATTTGCTTCGACCCAAACCGAAAACCCGGTTCGGTTTGGGTTTTGTTTTTTTTTTTTTTTGTGGCGGACCTTTGTCCTCTATGGCCCACAAGATATTGGAAAAAAGAAATAGATTTTGCCTTTATCCTTTCCGATTGACAAAACCGTTATATTTGATTTTCTGTTTTTCAAAAAACACCAAACAGCAAATCACAAAACTCCTCCACCCGACGACCCGCCACCGCCAATAGATCTCGCCCCGTCACCTCCAGCAATTGTCTCACCATTGAGCTCCGCCACGGCACTCATGCCGCCGCCTACGGAGCCCCCTCTCTATCAGCCACTTACAGCACACGAAAACTCAACGCCACACAGCACCACCCCTCGGGCGCCCAATGCATAGGACCTAAGCGTGTCGTTGTTAATAGAGTCATCTCCTTCGATCTGGTCGAGACACCTCTAGATCTGGAGACTTGATGGGCCATGGATGTGTCGGGCCTTCAGATCTGGTGGAGACGCCTTCAGATCTAAATGCTCGATGGGCCATGGAGGCTTCTGTTCTTGAGTTCAAGATAGCGAAATCCTTGTCGCTATCTTGCTTCCTCCTCTAAATGATGCTTCGGGCATGGTTGCTACAGGTCATACCTTCTCTCTATCTCGTAATAAACGAAACTTGGTTCCGTTCAGTTCTACTTCTCAATCTCATAATAAAAAAAATTAAATTTGTTTCGGGTTCAATTTGGACGAATCGAACCGAACTAGCCAAAGAAAAAGCTTTTTTTCCCATAATCGGAACTGAATAAAACCCAAACCAAAAGGGCTCGAAATTTTCGGGTTGGTTTGGATTTCGGTTTGGTGACACCCCTACTTTCTGAATTAGGAGTACTGATTCAAGAGGTTCTCAAACTATTTTTTGTTGTTGTTCATTAATTTTACTTTTAATTTAGTTCTCAAACTTTTTATAATGGGTTGGATGGGGCCTTCCATTAACTCTAACCCCTTATCACATGAACCATCTCGACGCGGATTGCTAGTAAGCAGTGACTGGATAGAAAGCAACATGGCCGATACGTGGTGTCATTCTACCCAAGTCGGCAAAAACTTTCTCATTCTTTTTTCTTTTTTAGCCATTTCTACTTCTCCATCATTCTTCCTTAGCCGCTGCCCCAATCCATGACCACCCTTACCCTAGTCGCGCGTTACTGAGATCATTTCGTCGAAACGTTTCGTGGTGTTCAACTATGGCGCCAATGGATAGCGACAGTAGCAGGGAGCTTTGGTTCTATTTGAGAGAGAGAGGAGTGTGATGTGGACCAAAGAGAAAGAAAGAGGTGACAACAGCTTGTCCAAGTTAACAACATCATCATCTTCACCATTAGATTTCTTAATGCAAGGATCACGTCGAGGCAAAGTCGAACGGTTTAGATCAAGGACCATATGGGACGATGGAAAAAAGTTCAAAGAGCCTATGCCTGATGTGATCGGGGAAGACGAAGACCTTCACATCATTAAGAAAAATATGACTTGTGCTTTTTGTCCATCATCGGTCATTTATAACTTTTCTATGACATATCAATTCGTCGTTTTTTAGCGTTTTTCTCTGGGAAGACGACCAAAGCGTCAAGAACAAGCCCACGCGGCTTTGTTCAACTCCTCATCCACACTGTCAAGAAGTTTTTCTCTCTCTCTCTCTCTCTCTCTCCCGAAACTTGAGTTCAACAGCAATGGAGGACACCATGCACACAGTCAAATCGGCCGAGCCAGCCACGTCTTGTTCAGACTCTAGGTACGACCGGTCCCCTCTCTCTCTCTTTCTCTCATTTCAACTTGCGATTCTGTCAGGGATGCTGTTGAATTGAATCATGACAGAGACGGTCAATCGGTTCCCAACAGCGTAGACCGTGCTGAGATCGTCGTCGTGCGACACGGACAAACAGAGTGCAATGTGGAGAAAATCATTCGGGTACAAACCGAAGACAGACTCGATCGTCATGGACAATAGTTTTGCGTATTATCTTTTTCCTTTTTTGGTGCCTTCAATTCGTCAAGAGGGGATGAAAGAACCTCCATGTGCTAGAGCTTCGCACGGAATTCTACCGTGCGCAAGACGGCCTATTAGAAGTTCAACCCATCAGAGTCCAATAGTCCCCCCTTTTTTTCCCCACGTTTGCTACTAACTAACGGTAAAGGGCCGAAGGAACTAATGCGGGTGTTGACTGATCTAAGACTGAGTTGGGTTCAAATTAGTTCAGTTTGCTGTCATATTATTTTCACTTTGACAATTCGAGTTGAGTCCATTAACGTGTCATCTCCCACCTTGCCCTTTTCGGTTTTTGATCTTATTTATGCACATGTTTCTGCTTTCCGCCGTACTCTAAAATTATAATTAAGTTGAACAGGGAAAATACTTGTTTGGGCTCGTTATTTCATAGATGGAGGTAATCAAAATCGATGATCTTGTGGGTCACACATGGATCCACAAGATTCAACTATTGAGATTGCGCTTAATCCATGGATCTTGGGCGAGAGCTCTCTTATGAGCGAGCTTTTTTTGGGTACTCCCGGCTTATATGGTCGTGAGCTCACTCCATATGGGCCATTAGATCACGTGAATCTCACATGATGGCGTGGGCTACCGTAGGTCGAGAGTATATTATAATTTTCCCGTTTGAGTAGGGCCATCTGGATGTGGAATTAAATGAGGTGGGGAGGTTGCAAGCACATGCAGTAAGTAAACTTATCTCATGCTCTGTATTCCTTTGGAGTTGGAATGATCTAATGGGTCTCGCTTGCTTCTTACTTTTATATTTCTTGAAACTAAAAGGTAGCCGATAGACTGTCCAAAGAAGGTGAAATCTCTGCAATTTACTCGTCTGACCTAAAACGAGCTACCGAGACAGCAGAACTCATTGCAATTGCTTGTGGTGGGGTGGAGGTATGAATGTATCAGAATATGTTTTTATCTAGAATTATGTGTAGTAACAATTAGCCACCACATAGATTAATATCCATCAATGATATACAACAGTTTAAACTAATAAATAAGATACTGAGCCACAGTTTATGCAGCTTCAAACAATTTCATAAACTGGGTCTTGTCTCTGCATCCTTCGGTTGTGATGTAAATGCATTCCAGCACTGTAACCAGCATCTAGAGCACTTTAGCCATACGTATATCTGCTTGCATCCACTCAAATAAACATGCGATTAACCAAGCATGCAGTTTTGTCATCATCAAAATCATTGAGAAAGAGATCCAACTGTTACCACCTAGGAATAGGCGACACACTACTTAACAAAGTGATGCAAATCAGAATGCTTTCAAAAGAGATCTTTAATCCTTTGTTAAGATAGAAGTGGCTGTACGCTTCTATGAAAGTTACTGAATCTTTTCTTGAACTAACATCAGGTAACCAAAGATCCAGCTCTACGGGATCGAAATGCAGGAATTCTTCAATGCCTTAAGAGAAGTGACGCAGCTAACGTCTATCCCCAGGCTTACGAGGCCTATCGATCCCACAGGAGGGATCAAGAAATCCCGGTATGAGCTCGATCAAAAATTAAATGGCTAATTGCTCATAGGATTCTCATTTACCTCCCTATACTTTAACATGTAACCATCTTCTCATGCGACTTTTTTCCAAATAAAAGTTCCAGAATATGCTATCATGCCAATGCAGAAGCGAGTTGAACTGATTATTCTTTAGTCTCTAAATGACACTTGTTGAACTGATTATTCTTTAGTCTCTAAATGACACTGGCAAGTGACATGCATAGATAAAATTTAAGTATCAATTTGTGACTTTCAAATTGTTAGCTAGGGTCTCATCCTTTCATGGTCCTTTCACTATGCTGGACAAAAGGCATTTTAGTCCCCCTCTTTTGAGCTCATTGAGGGAGTCAAACTCACCTTAACCCTATTTCTAAAGAACGTATTCGTGCGATAGAAAAGGATATTAGATTCTCGGAGAACATGAACTTCAATTTGGTTCGTCAAAAGAGGACTGTCTCATCAGGGTTTCGTGCTCACTGGTTCTATGTGCAGGGTGGTGGTGAAAACAAGTATCAGCTTTACCAGCGGTGCACGACTTGCTTGCGGAACATTGGCTTGAAGCACAAAGGTAAAGCAATGCTATCATGAAATATCGTCATTAATCCATGACGATGCCATTTGAGAATTTCGATCTGCACAATAAGATTAGAGCCGGGTACCTTGCAGGGTAGTAGAGCTTAAAACTCATTTACAAACCACTTTGAGCTTACCCGTAAATGAAATTTAACTAGAGAATTGCACGACATCAATGACTTTGCAAAAACTTTATTAAGATTATGCTTTACCTGGGATAGACTTGTGGTAACTTTGCTAATTGTTAAGAATATTCAATGATTACACCGTATCGTAGTTAAACAACTTATTTTTTTGAACAGCTGGCGGTCGTCCTAGTAAAATCTACACTAATGTTGGCTCTCCTAGCCTCTGATTTCTAAATTTGTCCCTGCATGGTGTAGCCTGATAATATCTTATGAAGTCATGGATACATAAGATTAATGTGTCTATGTTGCTTATTTTCCGAAACATAGACTTAGCCACCAAATTTAAGCACACAAAGGGTAAATATCGATGCGTCTATAATTGCCTAAAGAGGCCTACTTGTATGGCTGCGTCTATACTACTGCAATATATATATATATATATAGATGATGCGTGTATACTAAACTTTGAAGGTTAAGCATGTATGCATGAATGCATGTGTGTGTGGAGAGAGAGAGAGAGAGAGAGAGAGAGAGAGAGAGAGAGAGAACATCTTGGATGGATTGGGGCCAAAATTGCTGCTCCAAAGCATTATAAATCTGTAGAGTAGAGAAGTGACTATAAACCCACACTTCACTTCTAATACCTTGAGGAGGAATATACAGTTTTAATTAGCTTGAAAACATCGGCAATCTAAAATAAACCCTCCCTTCATCTTGCAGGGGAGCGAGTAGTAGTGGTCACTCATGGTAGCTTTCTCGCATGTCTCTACCGACAGGCTCACCCTAATGAAGGTCGTCCAGGAGCGAAGATCCAAAATGCTTCCGTCAGCGTTTTTCACTTGTTTGGTGAGGACGACTGGGTCATAAAGTCCTGGGTCGATATTAGCCATCTCAACCATACAGAAGAGAAGCTCTACTAGCATTTGAGATATCTGGGGAGACCTACACCAGAAGGGTCATATCGTCACTCAGCCAAATTGTGCAAGAGACCCACTCATTAGACATTGCTTGATTATTGACATAATCAAGCATGTCCAGTTACTTGGGCAAATAAACTTTTCAATGTTCTTATAAGATTTGACACCATATGATACGTTTGAATGCTGATATTTACATTATATTTGATAAGTATCTTCAGTAATTTTCAATGTACACTTTTGCGATTGGTTGCGGCTCTATTGGTTAATGTTCTCAGCAAGCATTGATCGTGTTGATTCCCAAGATTGACATCGCTTGATATACATCGGGTGCTTCGGCTGAATGTCACTGCTCGAACCACCACCAGCTGATCACCTGAGAGCATAACAGTAAAAGCAAGCTCAAAAGAGTACAAGATCCTCATGTCCAAATTAAGAGTTCTTGTCTCCTCGGAAAGTCACTAAAATCCGAAAGCGGCCATCAACTTTCTTGCAAATCACCTCTTCAAAGAGTTCGATCTCGCCAACCTTCATTCCCTGCCCATTCGACAAATGAAGATCTATTTCCTTCCCAATGTTCATTGTTTTTCCCCCCATCAATGAGGTTAGAAAATCAATTGCGGCTTCGAGATTTCTTAGTTACGAGCACAAGCATCCCCAGTTATTTTAGTTTAGTCTCATGGTTCTTCCTTATCTGCATAAGGCCTATCTTTCTACAAGTGCATTTCGTACGGACTTTTAGTTTTGGGCTTCATAACATACTAAAAGTTACAGTTTGCTACTTGGTCTAGAGTATTGAGCCCATTGAGGATGAGTTGCTACAAAATGGGTCTTCTTAGCCCCATTGATTTTTGGAATCCATTAGTACTCTGGAATTGCATAAAAAAGACCAAAATCAACATGGATATTATGTAATTAGCTATGATCCAAAACGGAAAATTCAGCTAAGAAATGTTAGGATTAGGCGCACAAACACAACAAAATAAAAAATAAAAGCGAGAAAGAAAATCGAAACACAAGATTTATCCTGGTTCACCCTTAAACTAAGGCTACATCTAGCAAATGATTGCATTATAATTAGCACATTCCACCTCTCTATTACAACCATCAATTACATGAGAAATAGATTATATATACTTAGTAGTTATTTATGGGTCCAAGCTCAAATTACCAAAAAAATACAAGCCCACACCCCCAACAAGCAATTCGACAAAAGAAAATTATGTAGTTGAAACAAAATAATTCTGCTTATGCTTTCTATATCGGCCATAGGGCAATATGAATGATTGTCATTGTGGGCAAGCTAAAATAGAATACCTTTGCGTATTAAGAACTAAATTGGCTAAAGGGTTGGGTCATAATTATTATGGAGAACCCGCATGGCCCAACGATCTTATATATTTTTCCAATAGTAATTTTAGGTACTATTGCATGTAATGTAGGCTTACTTAGCATTTATGTTAGTGTTCCTGATTTTGGATGTTTAATAGGAAATCGTACTAGCGACTAACGTGATATCACAAATCTAATTACCATCTTTGTTTCATTGACGGAAAATTCATTCTCGATATCTTCCAATTGCCTACATGTTGGATTAAAATGGACCATAGTCACGTAATTTCATAGAATGGTGGGGTGTGATGGAGAAACAAAGCACCTTAAAAACTCCAAACTTGTTAATGATCCAATGGCTCATTAAAGACCATCACGAATGGCCCATGTTTCTAGGGTTTTAGTTTCCCCATTCGCACGATGGACCATATGGTCAGTCCCCACGATTTAAAAGAAGGTTGAAAATCAATTCGACAGAGATGTCTTGTTTTTAATGAAGCAATTTTTCTTTTCTTTTCTTAGTGAATTTCGGCCCTATAATTATGGGATCATTTGACTTCTGCTTCAAGGATTCCTTTTAAGACATGCCAAATGTTGGTAGCTTTCTTTTCTTGTTTGTTTTTTGCCTCACAAAAGATAACACGGGGGAACAATAGACAGAAGAAATAATTTAAAACTGAAAAGGGACCAAAAGTCATGGTGGGGAAGTAAATTAATCCATTGATTTCAGCTAGTGGCCTTTCAAGACCTACAATAGTGGACTTTTCATAAGAATCCTTATTGGCTGCACTTACATATGTGGAGGATGAAGTTCAAGATGTTACTATACTTAAGGAGAAGGCGAGTTCGGCATATATAATCTAGTACATCCTTCCGATCGTGTAACGATAATTGCCCTTTACCTGTTCATAGACTCGATGGCATGTCATCAGGGGGTCGAGAGCTCACCAGTGTAACAGACACGCCCAATCGGCGAGTTTGCTTAATTCGATGTACCAAGAAATAGATTATCAAAGAGTAAATTAGGGGAATAATCTAGTCGCTCAAATGGAAAAAGCCTTTTGGTTCGAATGACAGCAATCGACGTGATTCCGGGAAGAAGATAGGAAGTTGGCCCGAGGGGATTTTTGGCGCCAGAGGCTGAACATGATGGACGACAGAGCTCATTATCACATTTGTCAGTGTCACCATCATTGTAATCCAAAGTCAAACCGGCAGGTTTTGTGTGGCAAAAAGTGCCATGATAATGTCAACGTAAGTTCACGTATTTGCATTGGAGATCCAGACAACTTGGGGCACGAGTGCTCGAACTCTTGTTGTTAGTCAAAAAAGCATTGTTTTGGTAAGTTACAAGTTGAGGGAAACATGGAAAATGTCATTGAATGAGGGAAAAGGGATCCTAACGGAAAAAGTAGTGAAAGGATTTTCATATTATAGTACTCGAATAGTTTTGTGTGAAGTTCGATTGACCACATTTGCTGTTTCTGATGAATAACATATGCATTTGATCGATTTCGTTTCCAAAGCTATCATTTGAAATGCGCATGACGATCATCAGATCATTTTTTGTAAACGATTATATATATATATATATATATATATATATATATATATATATTCCAAAGACACACTCCTCTGCTAGACGCGTGTGATTCCGATCACTCATACTCTCAACCAAGAGTGATGCTTTGTTCGAGCCATTTGACTCTGGCGATTACACATTGCCTTCAACGAACAGGGTGTGGTTACATGTAGGAGTGGGTAAATCTAGTCCCGAAACTGGTACTCTAAAAGTGAAATCAAATTTGGCATAGTATGCTTCAAATTGTAAAATCTTATGGTATGGACCAATACTAAGGTACCATCTGATATTTGAACGGTTACCACCCCAACTAGCAGCGAGATTAAGGGATAAAATATAAGACCTTTAATCAAGTAGATGTTGAAACCGGATCATTCACTTAGATTCATGTCAACTTTCCTTTTCTTTTGGATTTGGTGAAGTGTCGTGTCTAAGTTGAATTAGGAGAAGAAAAGTAGATAAATCATGAATGAGATGCATGCAGATAGCCTTTAGGAGCAATTATGGCCGGAGAGGGTGGATGGGTGGCAAGATGATGATGGTGGCCTTATAAGAAGAAGTTTATTGTTGCATGTACCTAATTCATGGAAGTAACACATATTGCAAGCCGTCACAATTTGCTCCTCCAAGAGTATCATTGAATTTATTGATGGCTCGATTGCACTGAACTCTTATGAGTCGGGGGCGTGTACTAATGAGATGGCCTCACCGACATCATGAAATTTACGGAAACGCCGCTTCAAACAATTTCAAAAGAGTACTTTTTTTAGGGTTCTGACTTTGTTCCTTAGTAATTTGGTTCCTCCTGATTTTCTTTAAAGGATGAAACCCTTTAAGCGTCTATGTAAATTGATCTAATTCCTATAAAATAAATTGGTAACTTCTAGGTAAATATGCGAGTTATTTGTCATGGTCTCAATGAAATGAATCAAGTAATTAATTAAGCAAATCCCTATTCAATGTACCGTTCGATATGTCATTGAAGAACTTTTTCTTTTTTTTGGGTCGAAAACATTGAATAACTTGGCAAACAACAAATTTGAGGAGAAAACTCTCGAGATTGACATGGAAGCTCAAAAAAGGAGGATATTTATAGGGCCAATTCCAAAAAAACAGCACCAACTTTACTTTGAGTGATAATTCTGCCCGAGCTTTTTTTTGTCTCCATAAAAAATACCAATTTTTACTCGAGTCCCAAATTTGGCCCCCGTGATGTGAAATTTTGTTCAAACTAGATTTAGAATTTAAGTAAAAGTTTGTGATTTTTTATAAGACAAAAAAAATTTGGGCCAAAATTGTCACTCAAGGTAAAATTTGTACTTTTTTTTGGAATTAGGCCTATATATATAATTTCCATGGATTCACCCGTTAGACAAAGAGCCATTCATTGTATCAATGCCCAAAGGCAAAAGGCAAATTGCATCATGCATGAGATCAGTGTGTGACCCCTAATTAAAGAAGGATTTAATTTTCTCCCTTATTTTCTAAAATACGTTCATATTACACCAAGGTTTAGCAAGTCAACTCGAGTTTTGGTATAACCGGTCAATCTTTCGCTCGCACTTCTATCCATTTATTTATGAAAATGGACAAGAATATAATGGTTTTAAGAGTTGACAAGTGGAGGATTTAATATATAGTTGATGAATAATTTCTCATTATTTCACATGCGTATACGCGTGGTGCCAATTGCCATGGAAGCTCGAAAAAGGGTGATATATATATATATATATATATATATATATATATATATATATATATATATATATATATATATATATATATCTATATATATATATAATTTTCATGGATACACCCGTTAGACAAAGAGACTCTTGTGTGGAGAATTAATTGTATCAATGCCCAAAGGCAAAAGGCAAAATGGAATTGCATCATGCATGAGATCATTGGGTGACCCCTAAATAAAGAAGGATTTATTTTTCTCCCTTATTTTCTAAAATACGTTCATATCACACCCAGGTTTAGCAAGTCAACTCGAGATTTAGTATAACCGGTCAATCTCTTGATGCGTACTTCTATCGATTTATTTATGAAAATGGACAAGAATCTAATGGTTTTAAGAGTTGAAAAGTGGAGAATTTAATATCATATATATATATATATATATAGTTGATGAATAATCTCATTATTTCACGTGCGTGTACGCGTGGTGCAGATTGACAATATCCCTCGAGTTGTGATGTATGACCACCATACCTTGACAATGAAAACAGGGGTTAAATTATTTAATTAATTTTCAAAGTCAAAGCCTCCTCAAGGGGGGCTTCATTGCAAAAGAAATAAAAAAAAAAAAAAAGGGCCCGGTCAAATT